GCTTACCGTCAGCCAAAGTCGCCTTAGAAGGCGTCCGTTTACGGGCCGCAGTCCGACTACAGAGGATTGATCGCCGACACCCGCTAGTCGCGCGGCTCTCCAGCAGGGACAGCAACAGACGAGACTACAACGGACGGCTGAACTTCTGCCAAGATGCGGAAGACCAACGTTCCTCCAATCACAGTACCTGCCAAGCTCACAGGATCAGATAGTAGTTCAATGCAAAGAAGAGGCTGCGAAAGCTTTCGAGCGCTGGCTAAAGACAGTACCGGAAAGCCATATGATCGTCTTCTCGGACGGCTCCAGGGCGACGAACGGAGCCGTGGGGTACGGCTTCGTCATCTACCGAGACTCCAAACGCATAGCGCAAGGGTGCGGCCGACTCGGACTAGCAGAAGTGTTCGACGCCGAGGTCGAAGGGGCGCGAACCGGCCTCAGAAGGGCTCTGCTCACCAATCGCGGTCATCCAATCCACATATGTATCGACAACACCAGCGTTATACAAGGCATCCGCGGCAAGGCGCCGGACTCGTCACAAGACGCGTTCCTCGAAATCCAAGAAGCGGCCAGGATATTTGATATACGGACGCACTGGTCCCCGGGACACCAGGGCATCGAAGGAAACGAGGCCGCGGACCGGCTGGCCAAAGAAGGAACGACACTGCCGGCGCGGATGGGTCAAATGGCAACACTAGCGGGCATCAAGCGGCTTGCAAGGGAAAAATTACAAAGCCAGCACAGGAGATGGTGGTATAAAGAGCGAAGGCCGCGGTACGCGGACTTGGGGCTTGAGGCAGCTCTGTCCAGCCCTCCTGAACTGGCCTTGCCGCGGGCTACGTTACATCACCTGCTGGCGGCACGATCGGGTCACGGGGACTTCGAGCAATATCACCGACGTTTCAACCACGACGACGCTCTAATGATGTGCTCTTGTGGAGAGGCGAAAGACGTGGACCACCTGGTCTACTGTCGACTAACGCTGGCGAGGAGGCAACGGTGGCCGACCCTCCACTCTCGCAGTATGCCCGAGCCCATAGGTCCTATGGGATCTCTCGAGGCCTACTTCAAGAGATTAATCACCGACCCACGAGGCTTCGAGGCCTTTCTCCGCGTGACGGACTTCTTCCAGAAGATCTGTCTGCGGTAGCAGCATCCACACCTAGGTAGATGTGAGTGCGGACTACAAAGAACCTCCCGATTCCAAGGGACGATTTGGGAAAGAATGAAACTGGGGCACCAGCGGGAACCGGGGACAGACAGAACGCGTAGTGGCCACAAGGCATGATTTGGAGGACGATGTAAAGAGACGACGTACTGTAGAGTAGGTAGCCTTGGCTCACGGCCCTCCACGCCATATACCCTTCGGGAGGTCTGCGGTAAGGGCTCTAGCCCGGCCGCCACGGCGTTAAATACAACAACAACAACAACAACAACAGTCTCAAGGATATTCTTATCCTTCGGCTGGTGCCAAGCTGGGCTATGAGATTTCCTGCCCTGCCACAGAAAATTAAGAATTTCCGGGATGCCGTAGCCGAAATGCGGCAGTATCTCGACGAAATGATTCGTGGCTGCAAAGACAATCTCAGAGGCAGCAAGAAAAAGATGCAGAATGACAACTTACTTAGCTTTATGGTGAAGAGGAACATAGATTTGGAAGTCGAAACTCGCATAGATGGATTCAAGGATGATGGGTCTCATGCCTTACTGACAGAGTCTGAGATTCGAGGAAATCTCTTTACCTACTCACTTGGAGGACATGAGTCTTCTGCACATACGCTTACGTTTGCGACCTATCTCCTTGCAGCTTTTCCAGAGCAACAAGCTTGGCTTATGGAAGAGATCGATGAGGTTCTTGGTGGCAGGCCAGATTGGAAGTCACAGGATGCTTTCATGGATATTTTCCCTCGCTTGAAAAGGTGTCAAGCCGCCCTGGTAAGTAGGCATGAATTGACCTCCAGAGCGATTTTCAATAACTAGTCTGACACATTTATAGAACGAGACACTTCGATTGTACCCTTCGGTCACAGTCCTTCCAAAGTACACCGGGTCGAAAGCAACGACTTTGATTGTTGGTAGCCAAGATCATCGCATCCCATCAAACACCAACGTCTTTGTCAATATGCCTAGCATTCAGGTTCACCAAATTGTATGGGGGCCCGATGCAATGCACTGGAAACCTGATCGGTGGATCATGACAAGCGATCGCATGAAGGGTCTGGACGGCGAATAACTCAAAGCACCTCCTGATGGCGCTTTTCTCCCGTGGAGCGAGGGGAAACGGGTTTGTCCGGGCAAAAGATTCTCCCAGGTTGGCTTTGTTGCAGCACTTGCGACTCTTCTGTATAAGCACAGACTTGAAGTCATACCTAAAGTTGAAGAAAGCCTCGAAAACGCTAGGGAAAGGGTCATGGAAGTTGTAAACGACACTTACGCCGTCATGACTGTTCATATGCACAATCCTCTCTTTGTCAAAATTGGGGTTCTTAAGAGAATCTAGAAAGCAATATAGCTTTGATTTCAAACTATCTAATTTCTTTCCTTCTTGCTTGACTTGATTACTAGTTACAATAAAGTAGAACCGTACTTGATACGTATTCTGAGATGTAGATAACTTACATTTCTGAAATAAATAGCTTTATTATTTCAATTGAATCGCTTTGGCGTCTTGAAACCTTTTCGGTTTACGGATGTATCCAGTATCAAGTTGCATTTATGATTGCCAATGGTCCTTCAATCGGCGATAATGACTGGACAAATTGGACAATAAATATATCGCTCCGCGAACAACCTTTCGGGGTATGTTGTTGCGCTTTTCTTGCTCTCAATTCGAGACTCTCATTCTAGTTGTTATTATTATTAATAATAATATTTTGGGGGGTTGGAAAATCATGCTTCCCTTGTCGCGGCGACTTTTCTGCCATTTACAGCACATCGGCGAAATTGTTCCTCCGACAACTTGGATCCTAACCACCAACCCTTGATAGAACGATGACGTGAGACCGGATTAGACCGGATTCAGACCCGGGTTAAAGCTAAATCGTAAACGCCGGAGTCAGGCTTGCTCTATAAATCTCGGCTTTCTTGGCCAGTCATTAGATCCTAGGACAACCAAATCAGTCCATAATCGATTCTCACTTGCTCGGTAACGCTAAATATGTCAACCTTCATCACGTCTGCGAATATTGCGGCTACTATTGGGCTGGCCGCAACCATGATGGGCTCCATCGTCACGCTAAAACCAGAACTCGGTATCAAAATGTGGCACTTCGATATTGCGTCCTCCGAGGATTTCAAGGATCCAAAATCGAAAAATAGGAGCCTGATCTTGGACGAGCTACGCCTGTTCGCCATACGCGAGTTCTTCATTGGAGCAAGCCTGTTTGCGGCAGCATACTTCGGCAACCACAAGACCTTAGCTGCGATGTGCTTGCTTGGGGTCCCGGTGGTCACTATTGATGGCATTGTGCAGCGGAGACAGGCACCGAAGGCGGATTGGTGGGTTCACTTTGCGTTGGCGCCGGTGTTCGCCGGGTTAGGTGTTGTGTCGTGGAGACAGCAATGATTGATATCGCTTCCCTCGGGATGCGGTTTTGGGTTATGTGGCGTGCTGGACACAAAAGAGTCTGGTTGATTCGATCACGAGGAACTCCAGATCGTTGGTTGAGTTGGCTGAATCTCAAGGTGAAGCACCTACAAAGAGAAGGGGTTTCCACGCGTTCGCGGCGGAAAGGTTTGGCTTTCAAATTCATCATCCATGGTTCACACGCTGTCAGGGGCTGACCGAACCGGTCGTAGCGTTGACAAGTTGAAAGGAGCGAACGGCCTCGAAAAGGGAGGGTGGAAAATGGGCGTCGACTCGCCGTCGGCGCATTTAAAGCGGTTATTTAAGCGCTAGCTTTGGTCATGCAAACTTCTATCTTTAGGCAATGTCCAAGTCCTCTTCCTCCCCCGCTGCCATATGATCCTACGCTTGTGACCGGGCTGACTGAAGTTCTTCCGCTTCCGCCTCTTCTGTTAGGCGCGCTTGTGGTCCTCCGTTCATTGCAAGATGCGGTGCTGCGGTGTAAACAAAGGCACGAACGATGTCCTTGGGAGGTGACAGCGAAACCCGACGAATACCTAATATATAATGTGCTATGGAAACATCTCGGGCATGTGCGTCTGCTTGGTAAGATGCAGCAGGAAATCACAAACTGAAAGCTAGATTAAGTTAAGGAAGGCTAACAACTGAACATTTGGCCTATTGAATCTAGTCAACTTTCTTCTATCAATCCTACAGCCAGCTATATAGCTCGAGCCCTAGGCGCCTTTGCCTCAAAGAGAAGTGTTGTCCCAACCATCTGCCAGTCTACGTTCTTGAAATCGGCCTTGAGTGGCTCAACTATGTCAGCTGCATAATCGTTGTTATTGTGGAAAACGCCCAAAAGATTGTGCCAGAACATAAGGAACCTTCCAAAAGCATTGTGTTTCACTCCACCGCCTAATACTGTTGCACCAACCAGAACACCATCTGGTTTCAGAAGGTGACCTAACCCTGCCATAGCCTCTCCTTTTCGCCTGGGACTTCCAGGGAGACAGTGCAATAACAGCATACAAGAAATGACGTCGAACTGTCCGTTGCTACTCGTATGCAGAGCTGAAGGTAGTTGCGAGGTATCGCCGAGCACGAAGACGTCAGCTTGAGCTATGTCAACGATGACATTGGGATGTGCCAGTTGGATGCGGTGTTGAGCCTCGGCTAGGGGGCTCTGATTGATGTCGGCCAGAACGATTGCCGAACCAGGAGGCAGAGGCGCACTCTGCATAAAATAGCCAGTGCCGACACCGATATCCAGTAGTCTTGCCTTAGGTTTGACAAGGCAGGAAACGTGCTTGCTATAGTGACCTGAGAGGACGTTTCTAGGACATCCCCAGGCTAATGGACAGTAAAAATTGAGGACAAGGGTATCGTAGAGCCATCGTAGAAACAGTGGGAAGTAGACAGCGTTGCCAAGGGTGCTTGTAGACATGGTGGGAGGAAGCGGACAGAATCTGGGGGATTGGAAGCTGTGAAGAGATTCTTGAGTCGGTTTCGCAGAGTTGACAATGTTCAGGGGCATCTACTTTGATATGAAACCCAGCACGGAAATACTTCGTTATTAACAGTTGCCCTGACACATTGCAGTATAAGGTTCAAGTTGTCATGTTTTAGCTTGGATGTTGCTTTTTACTAACCGCGCGCGGCGGCAGGAGACTTCTGTCACGTCGGTAAGCGGAAACCATCCCACGTTATCAGTCTAAACCCCTGATTGGAACACTTTGACTGTGCAGAAGTAAAGATTCAAGACACCCGTCCAACGGACCGACGGATCGAACCGAATGGTATAAGCCTCGGCAGCTAGGCCCGGCAGGTGACAGACTTTCTTCTTCAGACAACTTTTGGTGGTCAGCGCCGGGTGTTCAGGCCATATAAACTTTTACTACTATTCCACGCAAGTCGCTGCAAGGGCCCAGTACGGTAAATTTGGCGGAGTTCGAACCTTCAGGCTGCCAGTCGTAGTCTACGATCTCGATCGAGCAATTGAGACCCGAGCGCTCGCATCTTCTGGCTCATCCGAATACCACGCTTCCCATTGTTGGAGTTCGATCAAGGTTGATGAGATAGCCGCTTGAGTTCCGACCGAACATCTGCCCCTTCTCGCGAGTTGGAATTTTATGACTACGCCTTATCGTCTGGAAAGCGGGAAACCTCGCTTCCGGACTCCTTCGGATGGTTGATTTGGCGGTTGAGTGATTGACAGCTGAACTCTGACGGAGCTGGTTGACGTTGCAATTGTTTGCAACCTTATGCAGCAGCGGGTTCGCGATTCTGTTTCCAAGGCTCGGTCAATTCGATCCTTGAACGGTCCAAACCTTCTCAATCTCAGCTAGGCTCTCCCCAGTCAAGGTAGTCATCTAGATGTAGCATGTTGTTATCAGTCATGTCAACAGCAATTCGAAACGCGATTGGATCTTTCTTAGTGGAGAATCAATCAAGCAAGTTCTCAAGACTTGGACAGCGGCAAGTGAAGTCTAACTAAAGTAATCAATTGCATTTCCACTCTTCCGTTAATTTCATTTTTCCATGGAATGTGACGTTGTCAAGTTCGTGTTAACTTCCGCTTGGAAGCCTTTGTTGCCTCTTTTCCGTGATCATTGGACTATCCTGCATCAAGAAACTTCGGCAAGAGCTGCTGCTAAAATAGTATAAAAAGGACCGAATCCGGTAACGTCTTGTTCTTGAACGGTCCTGAATCTGTTAGGAATCATTATTTTTTCACTCAACTGCGGATATCAATCCAAAATCAACAACGTCAAAGTCAAGTTGTCAGAATGGATACAATGAAAGACCAGATACAACCTATCGCCATAGTTGGCTTGAACCTCAAGTTCCCCGGAGACGCTACTTCGGCGGAATCCTTCTGGGAGATGCTTGAGAATGCAAGGAATGCATCAAGCAAGGTGCCCTCAACCCGCTTCAACATCGATACGTTCTATCATCCAGACCCTGCACGTCTCGACAGTGTGAGTTATTGACTCTCTTTTAACGTACGGGGACAAAATCTAATTGCTCTGGAAAACAGATGCGTGTTCAAAAGGCCCACTTCATGAAAGAAGATCCGCGGGCCTTTGATGCTGCTTTTTTCAACATGTCGCCAGCAGAAGCATCCATCTTAGACCCCCAACAGCGTGGGCTCCTCGAAGGCACATATCACACCTTCGAAAATGGTATGAGTCCATAGATATTCTCTATCAAGGCATGGATCACTAATTGAGAATTTATGGAATCACACAGCTGGCTTAGCAATGGAGAGAGTTGCTGGTTCCCGTACCTCAGTTTTCTGCGCCTCTTTCGGCCGTGATAGTGATGCCATAGTGGCCCGAGATCCAGAGTTCCAATCCCGGTACCAAGCAACGTCTTCAGGGTCTTCTATGTTGTCAAACCGCATCAGTCATTTCTTTGACCTCCGAGGTCCATCTTTGACGGTTGACACCGCATGCTCCAGCGGACTGTACGCCCTTCACCTGGCGTGTCAGAGCATACTCAACGGGGAGTCCGACATGAGTCTAGTCTGTGGCTCCAACACCTACCTCACTCCCGAGTGCATGAGTTTCCCCTTGAGCAACGCCGGCTTTCTATCTCCGGATGGCCGATCTTATAGCTTTGACCACAAAGCCAACGGTTACGCCCGTGGAGAAGGATACGCATTTGTTCTTCTCAAGCCGTTGTCCAAAGCTCTGGCGGACGGAGACATTATTCGATCGGTGATTCGTGCCACAGGCGCAAATCAAGACGGGCGGACGCCGAGTATCACCCAGCCCAGTGCTACCGCTCAGGTAGAGCTCATTCGGAGAACTTATTCTGCTGGAGGACTGGACCTTTCCGAGACCGAGTACGTCGAAGCTCACGGAACCGGCACACCAGTCGGTGATCCAATCGAGGTCTCCGCGATTGGAGAGGTTTTCAGACCTCATAGATCTAGCCCGCTCTGGATTGGGTCTGTGAAGAGCAATATTGGCCATCTCGAGGGTGCTAGTGGCCTGGCGGGTTTGCTCAAGACAGTCTTCTCACTCGAGAGAGCCATTATACCTCCCATTGCGGACTTTGAAAAGGTGAACCCAGCAATCGACGTCGACGCGCTAGGCGTTCAGTTTCCAACGCGCCCTACGGCTTGGCCTGCCACTCCTTCTGGGATCCGCCGGGCTTCAGTAAGCTCGTTCGGATATGGTGGATCTAATGCACATGTCGTCCTGGATGATGCTTACAACTATCTTCGGATTCGAGGCCTTACTGGAAACCACCTATCCGTGGCCAAGTCGAATAACTCTCACAAGCCACGTGTTGCGAACAGCAGCACCTCAGTAAGAACAGCCGAAGATCAGGCTCCAGACGCCGGCACCCCTGATTCCATTTCAGATGTTTCTGATGATAGTGGTGTCATCATTAACTATGAAAGCGAGGCCGAACATAGCTCCTTCTCGCTTCTCACTTTCTCAGCTGCCGATGAAGATGGTCCACGAAGACAGGCCTCAGCGTTACAAGATCACGTCGCTACCCAGCAAATTTCGCGGAAGAGAGCACAGAGAGTTTTCCTTGCCGACCTAGCCTACACTCTCTCTCAGAAGAGCATCCTCAACTGGCGAGCATTTGCAGTGGTCAAGTCGGAAGCGAACATCGGCAACAATCTCACAGAGATCCTCTCTCCGGTTACGTCGGTCTTGTCATCGAAGAGGCCAGAGCTCAACTTCGTCTTCACAGGTCAGGGAGCTCAGTATCCGCGCATGGGTCTCAAGCTTATGCGCTACGAAGTATTCCGGCAGAGTCTGATGGACTGCGACGAGTATTTGCGGTCTCTTGGTTGCGAATGGTCCGTCTTCACAGAGCTTCGGAAGGCCCCGGGATCGTCCAGAATTCAGAAGCCTGAAATTTCACAGCCCCTTTGTACCGCTCTGCAAATTGCCACTGTCGACCTTCTCCGAACCTGGGATGTCACCCCGCAATCTGTATGCGGCCACTCATCGGGTGAAATCGCGGCAGCGTATTGTGCTGGAGCGCTTGATCGCCAGTCTAGTTGGAAGGTTGCATACTTTCGAGGCGTCTTGGCAGGTAGATTGGCATCTGATGGCTCTCGGAGCCAGACGACGATGATGTCTGTTGGCCTCGGCGAGGCAGCCGTACGCCCCTACCTTTCAAACAGGCTCTCGGTAGCCTGTATCAACAGCCCAGCCAATGTGACGATTTCAGGGCCGACCAAAGAGATCCAGGTCCTGTTTGAGAGACTAGAGAAGGAAGAGATCTTTGTCAAAAGGCTTCCTGTTGATGTTGGATATCACTCTCCGGCTATGGAAGTCGTCGCAGCCGAATATCAAGATCGAATCCGTGACATTGGCGCACCTACTGGGTTAGCCGCCGAGAGGTTGCGCAAGGAGTCTCTGGTATCTCTCTACTCCTCAACCGAGGGAAAACTCACATCTTTCGAGGCTGTGACGAGCCCTTCGTATTGGGTAAAGAACCTTGTCTCTCCAGTTCTCTTCTCGTGTGCTCTCGAAGCCATGACCGGATCGAAACATGGAGGGCCACACTTCCTCGTAGAAATCGGTCCGCAGTCGGCTCTCAGACGACCTGTGCAAGATACCTTGACTCCTCACCTCGGCAATAAGGCCACTAAGAAATGGCAGTACGTCAGCGTACTGAAGTCCAACGTCGATGATGATCAATCATTGATGGAGGCTCTCGGCAGTCTCTGGGCAGCAGGCATCCCGGTTTCTTTGTGCAAGCCAAACCAGGAGTCGACTCAAATATCGCGGAAACCGAAGATTCTGGTGGACCTTCCTTCATACCCCTTTAATCGGTCTCGGGAGTTCTGGGAGGAGAGCAGGTTGAGTCGCAACTACGCAAAGCGTCCTTACCGTCGGCATGCTCTTCTAGGCATCAGAGACCGTGACTGGAATCCCGAAGAGGGAAGTTGGAGGCATTTGATCCGATTCCAAGAGAACCCCTGGATTCTGGATCATGCCTTGAACGGCTCACCGCTCTACCCCGGCTCGGGTATGCTTGTCATGGCCATCGAAGCCGCCCGTCAACTTGCCACACCAGTCGAAAGTCGCATCCGTGGCTATCAGCTAGACAACGTACGCTTTCTGAGAGCCATTGATGTCGACGACTCAGAGCGCGGCACAGAAGCAAAAATTGTGATGCGGCGCCGTCGACAGGCCACCAATACAAGCGGACAACAGCTCTGTTACGACTGGCGGGTCTTCGGGACCAGTGGCGACGACTGGAACGAGTGCGCCTATGGAAGCATCAAAGTCGAACTCGAACCGGAGCAAGCCTTGGGATCCGAACAGGCCGCCGCTTCTGAGGCACGTCGGTACCGTTTTGAGACGTCTATCAAAGAGCAACTTCAGGTAGACGTTGACAAATGCCGTCTGGTCGTGCACCCCAGCCAATTGTACAAAAACATGTCCAAGCGTTCAGGCTTCGATTACGGACCGTATTTCCAGTTGCTGAAGAATATTTCCTACGACAGGGAGGGTCATGCTACAGCCACGCTGTCAGCCAGAGATTACACTTCAAGCATGCCGTACGCTGGGGAAGACCCGTGCGTGGTTCATCCGAGCACATTGGACGCAGTTTGTCACCTTCAGATGGTTGCCCTATCTCAAGGTGGATGGAACGCCGTCCCTACGATGATGTTCTCTCATCTGCGAAAGTTGTGGGTGTCGCAGAAACTGTTCGTGGCGCCTGGGAACCCCCAGCTGCGAGCTGCAACTCAAGAGACTATGCGCGCTTTCCGAGAAGCTGAGTGCAGGACACTGGTCACCTTTGCCGATTCCAACGAGCCCGTTCTCGTCCTGGATGGTCAGCGCGGTACAGCCATCACAAGTCTCAAGTCAGCCGACGCTGCTGCTGCCTCACAAGGCGATTCGGGCCAGAAGTTCTATGGTCTCGACTACAAACCCGACCTGTCTCTCCTGACTGTAGATGCCAAGAGTCGCTACTTCGCGGCTGCGTTCAAGGAGGATACCCGATGCCGCGCCCCTCCGAGAGAGCTCATCGACCGTGCCGATGCTATTGCTCTGCACTTCATCGAGACGGCTCTGGAGCAAATTGATCAGGAAGATAAGCCGCTGCAATTCGATAATCACTTGGCCCGGTATGTCAAGTGGATGCGGCGTGTGCACCTGAATCGGGATACGTGGACGCTGGAGTCTAGGGGTCTAAGTCACCTGCGTATCCAGGAGATCTTGGATGAGGCCGATGGCGAGCCTACGCAGAAACTTACCAAGAAGGTTGGCGAGCATCTTCACAGCATCCTTAGAGGAGAAGCAAACGCGCTGCAGGTCATCTTCGAGGGCAATCTGGCCAACGAATTTTACCACTCTGACATCTTTGCAACGAACAACAGCAATATGGGAGCGTATATCAACGTCCTAGCCCACGCGAATCCAAACTTCGTGTGTTGGAAGTCGGAGCTGGAACCGGGAGCTCGACCGGTCGGATTCTCCCTTACTTGGCTGCACAAGGGGTTGAAAGTGGTCCTCCAGAGGCTGTACGCTTCGGTGAATACTGCTACACAGACATCTCAGCCGGGTTTTTTGAAAAGGCGCGCGAGCGTTTCTCTTACGCAGCAAGCCACATGACGTTCAAGAAGTTGGATCTTGAGAAGCATCCCAACACACAAGGTTTCGCCGAAGGGACTTATGATGTCGTCGTTGCAGGCAATGTGTTGCATGCCACAAGCGACTTGATACAAACACTCCGGTATGTCAGGGGTCTTCTACGGCCTGGTGGTGTGCTTGTACTGGGAGAAACAGTCAACCTGGACAACGTCCGTGATGGCCTCATATTTGGCCTGTTGCCTGGCTGGTGGCTACGCGAGGGACAGTGGTGGTCTACAAATAAAGAGTACCAAGACCAAGGCCCTCTCCTGACGGAAGAGCAGTGGACCACGGTTCTCAAGGAAGCTGGGTTTCCCGGCATCCAAATGGCTTTCCGCGACCATGAACAGAAGCCACATCACCGAGTCTCTATCATCATCACTACCCGCCCGGAGAATGAGAGCCTCTCAAGCCAACCGTCTAGAGTCGAGTCGCCCTATAGGATCATTATGGACCCTACTTCTGCGATCCAAACCTCTGTAGCCGAGTCGCTCCGAAGCCACCTTGTCTCAGGCTCTCAGCCTAGGGAGGCAGACATATCCAGCATAGTGGACATATCATCAGGAGACACCAAGTTGACCGGAGACGTCGTAGTCATCAGCTTGTTAGAGCTCGATACTTCAGTGTTGTCATCCGTCGCCGCGAAGGAGTTCGAAGCCATCAAGAAGATTTGCCTTGATACCAGGTTCACGCTTTGGTTGACTTATGGAGGAGCCCCCAAGGCCACCAATCCCGCAGCCGAGGTCGCCATCGGATTCGGTCGGAGTGTCTGTTCAGAGAGAGGAGACCAAGGCTTCGTAACTTTGAACTTGTCCTCCCGGCCTGAGACCCCTACGGCTGTCACTAGCGCCGTCGACAGTATCATGCGTGTTGTTGAGAGATTGCACAACGTTTCCTGCCCTGGTACCGACAACGAGTCCGAGTTTTCGGAAGACAATGGCTTGATCTGCATCCCTCGCCTTATGCCTACACCTCATATGGATCAAGCGCTTTCCATCAAGCAGAGTGGCGGCAGGCTCAAGTCGTTCACATTCAACGGAGCTGACCCGAAGCCGCACATCAGTATCACCATCGAGACCCCTGGACTTCTTGACACCATCTTCTACGCAGAGGGTACCGAGGCGGACAACGAGCTTCAGTCAGGTGACATTGAGATCGAAGTCAAGGCAACCAGTATGAACTTCAAGGATTTCATGATTGCTCTGGGGCAGATTCCCGGGCGAAGCTTTGGATTTGACGGCGCCGGCATTGTATCTAGAGTCTCACGGGAGAGTAACCTTCGCCCGGGCGACTCAGTGTTGTTCTGCAGCTCTACTGGAGGAGGCTTTGGAACATTTGTGCGCTGCCCTGAACTGCAGACAGAGAAGCTTCCTACGGGCATGTCTTTCCAAGTGGCTGCAGCAATCCCGGTGGTATGGTCCACAGTGGTGTATTCTCTCGACCACATTGCAAGACTCAGCCGAGGTGAGACTGTTCTCATCCACGCAGCAGCTGGAGGCGTTGGACAGGCAGCCGTGCAACTTGCTCAGTTGCGGGGTGCCAAAATCTTTGCGACTGTGGGAAGCCAGGCGAAGCGTGAGCTTGTCAAGCAGCTGTTTGGACTTTCGGACGACCAAATCTTCAATAGCCGCGACGAAACCTTTGCACACGATGTGTTTCACGCCACGGAAGGTCGAGGTGTGGATGTGGTGCTCAACTCACTAGGCGGCGAGCTCCTTCGTCAGTCCTGGGAATGTATCGCACCCTTTGGCCGCTTCATCGACATTGGCAAAGCTGACATCATCGCTAACAATACTCTGCCGATGGGACCATTCAATCGAAATGTGACGTTCTCTGCAGTTGATCTAGTCGTGGTTCATGAAGAGGCAAAGCCTCTCATGAAGAAGATCCTGCAGGATGTCACGAGGCTGTTCAAGGAGAACCCTCACCTACACGAACCCAAGCCGCTTCACGTATTCTCACCTACAAGGCTCGAGGATGCAATGCGCTTCCTCCAGGGCGGTAAGAATACCGGCAAAGTCATCGTCGACTACGCTTCCGCGACCGACACAGTGGAGTACCGACCTTCACAGCTTCAGCACGGGTACAACTTCGAGGCGAATGCCACGTACGTTATCAGCGGCGGCTTGGGTGGACTTGGTCGTGAGATCGCCCGGTGGATGGTCTCGCGCGGGGCTCGGAATTTGCTTCTCCTCTCCTCTCGCGGTGCCGCAGGACGGCCAGACGCTCTCAAGCTTATCCGAGAACTCGAGGCCACCGATGGGGTCACAGTACTCGCGCCGGCATGTGACATTGTCGACCGGAAAGTAGTTGAGGATACCCTCCTGAAGGCATCGCGAGAGCTTCCACCGATCAAGGGCTGCATACAGGCTGCCATGGTCCTTCGTGACGATATGCTTGCCAAGATGTCTCATTCGATGTTCCATGAGACTCTCGGTCCTAAGCGCGCCGGATCATGGAATCTGCACCAGCTCCTGCCCAACGACATGGACTTCTTTGTCTTGCTCTCATCATTCTGCGGCATCATGGGCAATCGCGGACAGAGCAACTATGCAGCTGGAAACGCATTTGAGGATGCTCTCGCGCGTCATCGGGTGGCACAGGGCCTCAAGGGCGTCTCGGTCGACTTGGTGCTCGTCGCCGAGGCCGGTTGGGCCAATGTCAACTATGAGTCCGTGACGCAGAGCCTCCGCGCCGGTCATGACAATCTCACACAGGCACAGCTGATGGAGTTGCTTGATCTGCTCTGCGACCCAGGCTACGACTGCGCAAAGCCTGGCGCAGCTCAGGTCGTCAACATGGTGGACAGCGCGGCGGACCTGGCGCGCATGACACAACAAGGACTCTTGGATTGGATGCAGAAGCCCGTGTTCAGCAATCTTCTCCGTATGGGTGAGACCGAGGCTAGCGGCAATGGTCGTGGGGCTGGTGGAGGCAATGGCGATGGAAGCGACGACGTCAATCGCCTGGCTCTGGTGAAGGCAGCGCCTGACTTGTCGACTGCCAGCGAGATTGTGACCCAGGGTCTGGTACAAAAGCTGGCCAAATCGCTGTCTGTGCCTATTGAGACACTCGACGTTGGGAAACCGGCGTACGTTGTTGGTGTTGACTCCTTGATTGCGGTTGAGGTTCGGTATTGGTTCATGAAGCAGCTGCTTGTCGAGGTGCCCGTGTTCGAGATTCTCAAGAACCAGAGTATCACGGATCTGTGTCAGCAGGTGGCTTCCAAGGTTCTGCAAAGCAGCTCGAAGTAGACTTGCGTGTCTTAAGATAGCTGAATGGGGATGAGCGTAATGACTGTCGACTCATCTCGAATGACCTGTATTTATCTTATCTCAACTGGTCAAAATCGCCTTTCTCAGTGAATGTCGAAAAGGACATCATGACAATCTGTCTCTCTGAATCGCAACGTTAGCTGCTCACAGCCACTTGCCAAAGATACCGGATATACGGCCGATTCTGAGAGCCTCCCATTCTCAATGAGGATTGGTCAAAGACGGCAAAGTAAGACGACGACGACGACGACGACGACGACGACGACGACGACGACGACGACCTTCCTAATTAGGTACTCCGGACCGCTGGAACACTCATGGTCCTACTACGCCGCGAAGGATCACCAGTCGCCCCATAAAGGCCAGGTTTGTTCTCATATTACGACTGAGGCTATAGATTTCAATTGACTAAAGCTCAATCGAGTTTTGCGACAGAACTCAATTGCCACAGCCAATATGACTCGACGTCTCATCGAACGACCAGTCCAGATCTACTCCGCGTCTCTGGGTGGCTCATTCAGGCCAATCTACACCGACACGGATACCGGACTGCCTTTCAGCATCTCCAAAAAAACAACTCTCACTATCATCACGACCTCGCTTCTCATCCCCGGCGACGGCGAACCCATCAAAGATGCCGCACTTGTCATATCCTCAAAGCTCATTGCCTGGGTCGGCCCGCAATCAGCAATCCCCAGAGAATACACAGAATCGCCTCACAAGTCCTACTCCACTCCATACCTAATGCCCGGTCTCTGGGATTGTCACGCTCACTTTGGTGGGGAGCCCCCCGACGCGGGATCCAGCGGTGATCCGTACCAGGTCTTCATCACCGAGCACCCTGCAGCCTCCGGCGCTCGTCTCACGCGCATGTGCTGGCTGGCTCTACAGAGAGGATACACGTCCCTCCGCGACGTGGCAGGCATGGGCTGCGAGATCTCCCGCGCCATCGAGGACGGCACGATCGTGGGGCCCAATGTCTACAGCTCTGGCGCGTGTATCAGCCAGCTAGCTGGCCACGGTGACATCTTCTCTCTCCCGGCTGGGGATGTGCTGTTGAACCTGGGGGTGTCGCAAGTCACTGCAGGACATTTTGGCACTGCGACGAGCATGATTGTGGATGGCGTTGATGAGTGCCGTCGTGCCGTCCGGTTGCAGATTCGACGAGGGGCAAAGTGCATCAAGGTCATGGCATCCGGCGGCGTGATGTCTCGTGACGATAACCCGCTTTACGCGCAGTTCAGCCCCGCCGAGCTCGAGACTATCGTGGAAGAGGCGAACAGGCAGAATCGCGTGGTCGCGGCGCATGTCCATGGTAAACCTGGCATCATGGCCGCCATCAAGGCTGGCGTCACAACGTTGGAGCATGTCTCGTTTGCCGACCGTGAGTGTGTCGACCTGATCAAGGAAAAGGGCATCATCTACATCGCCACACGCCTCGTCATGGACTTGCTGCTCGGCACCGGAGGGAAGGGGATTCCTCCTACAGCTTGGGAGAAGGTGAAACTGTGTGCCACGAACCACTTGGTCGCATACAAGATGGCCATCGAGGCTGGTATTCCGATTGCCCTAGGTACAGATACAGGACCCGGGTTCAACATGGCAATGGAGTTGGAGGCGGCCGTAAAGGCTGGGATGAGCAACTTGGAGGCTATCAAGGCGGCGACCGCGAATGGACCGCTCAGCGTCGGTGGGCAAGCGCCAAAGACAGGACAGCTGAAGGCTGGATATGAGGCAGATGTTCTTGGTCTGTTGGAGAACCCGGTGGAAGACGTCAGGGTGCTGCAAAAGATTGAGAATGTCGCATGGGTCTGGAAAGGAGGTTCTCTCTTCAAAGGGCCCGGTGTTGGACCCTGGGGTGAAGATCTTAGTTCCTTTGACGAATGGTCTGCGGCCACATACATTCGTTCATAGTGCCCTGATAATGCCTTCTTGGGCCGTCTCTTGATCTCCGTTCGTTTGCTCCATCGTGAAGGTGCTAGGCTCTTGGTTGCGTGTTGATTACCCCTAGGATTATTCCAGCACAATCCGAAATGTTGAGTTGTGAAATGGCCTTTGGTCTTCCCGGCCTGTAACCCAAGCAGCTTTCAGGTCAAACCTGAAGCTCTGATGGCAGCGGATGTTCACGCTTGAAGGTCTCGGAACCTTTGACATTGAGACAAAGACATCACCAGCTTCAGCTTGTCGCTCACCGAGTGTCAGGGCTCTTTCTGGAGCCACAATCCAACGTGATAACTCTAGAAGAGCATGCCAGGATTTAAAGTTGAAAAGGCCTCGTCTTCGCTCCATCTGGGTAAGACCGTCTTCTTCCTCATCTCAACCCCGTCCAAGATTCTCATTCTCACTCGCAACAAAGAATCGTTCCTCTGAACTCCAAAGCACCTCGTCCAGCATGTCCCCACAAACAGAGAATACACTAGGAAGTCTCGACCTCTATCCCGCGAGCTACTTCATGCCAATCCGCCACGGCGGTAAACGCCCGGTCAAAGTCGCAGGCTACACCCTCAGAGCGCTCGCCGAAACCTGCTGCAGCGAAGAGAGATACAATGTCGCCCGTGAATCTCTCATAAGCATCAGCCACATTCTCCAGGAGGAGATTGAGATGCTCCGAATTACCGAGTCGCCTGCTATAAAGCCAGCTGAGCAGGGCTATCTCAGCGGCTGGGAAGATGCCTTGTCCACCGTCATCGGCGTTCTCAACTATTGCATCGTCAAGCCGGTATCTCAATCTTGCTCTAACGCTCGCCCCGAGACGCTGCAACAGCTTGATCGCCCTTTGCATTCCCTCGGGGTGAAGAAGTTGGCAGAGATGTATGCATGCCGTCCGCTTCTGAGTCTGGAAAGCCTAGGACAGGCTTCCGATGATGTCAAAGGCAAAGGCCCGATGACACCCGATAAAATTGACATCCGTCAGGAAGAAAGTGCCGCTCGCTGGCTGGAGTTCATCGTCGGCGACGAGTATCGTCTGCCAAAGAAGAACTCATCTCTGGGTATTTCCTCGACCGAAACCAACGGCTCGGCCATCAGCACCCCCTCAACGACGAGCAGCGGCTCCTCAGCCCAGAACCTCCTTTCCTTCCCATCCAGCCAGGATACCGAGAAGTTCGCCCTCACCGAAGAGAACCAGCTAGCTCCCGATACTTCTGAGCTCATCCGCGGCATCGACACCATCCAGATCCTTCTCCACTACGAACGACAATGCCGCATCTCGGAACGCAGAATCGCGGCGGAGCTGATCAAGTCGAGTGTCCTTCGCCAGGCCATCCTTCAAGACCGCATCGGCCGCGAACCCAAGTCTGAGGGTGGGGGTGGCAATGGTAGAGTGAATGCTGAGGATGGCATCAATGATCCGATCTTTGGTCGGACGATGTATGAGAAGGCTGTGGGACAGGTGAAGGCTCTTTTCAGGCGTTGGAGTGGTACAGCCTGGCATGATGACACAGAGACGGAGGCGAACACGGAGATCGATGCCGATATTGACCCCAAGGAAGTAAGCACGCAAGCTGTTGGAGGGAATACTCGCTCGATTAGGGAGAGTCTCACGGGAGAGTACGGTTATCTCGAGTCCAGCCTCGCATGCCTCGACCCGGATTCGGATCTCTCGTTTCCAATGTTGCCGAACCCTTCGTACCAGCTAAAATATCAGGGATCAGAAGCTTGCGTGCCAGATGTACAAGTCCCCGTTTACCAGGGTTTGTTCACGAGATCGCCGGACTTGACGCCGACCTCTGGAAGCTCAGATGATACATCTGGCCATCTCTCATCCTCCGAATACTGCCCGCTGCCTTGTCAGTCGGATCTCATGGTCAAGGCAACCAGCCCCGATCTACTCTCATCCTCCCAAGACTCGCTGCCGAAAGTTGAGCAGGTACCTGCTTCCAGAAAGCGGGAACGCCTCGAGCATAAAAAGTGACCCTCCCATGGACGTTTTGGCTGGCGCTACTCAAAGAACCTTGGAGAAGCCGGTCATGGGGCATCACTCGCGGCCTCGCGCACTGGTACGAATGACTCTCAGGGAACGTCAGCAGAGCCAGATTGTCCTGCAAGTCCCGCAGGCCCTGCACCTCCTTCCGGACCCTGGATTGTCGTGTGCTAATGCAAGGGATGTCAGGAACGGGCTTCTCGCGATCAGGTTTGAACGATTGTCATCTTGATTTTGGGGGTATCAAATTTCGTATGTAATTGGGCTAAGTCGTTGGGTGGTACTTTGGTTACTAGACTTTGGGTTTTGTTAGTTGAATGTTTTCCAAGAACACAATGGATTGGTCTACTCACGAAGCATGGCCATGACTGCTTCTTCTGTGGACCAATCCTCCTTTTGCCCGTAAAGTGCCCCTCAACGCCATGCCGGGTTTCACATTCCTCAGCTTTGCCTCAGTATCTTCACCTAACGTTTATGCGATGGTCTCCGTCTCCATATCTCCCTCCTCGGACTTTTCGGCAGTCTCCTCAACATCTGCAACAGTAAAAGTCAGCTTCAGTCGTCCCTTGCTTCAATTGTCTCTTTCCACTCCAAAGTCTTGTCCACAGAAGCACGAGGAGCACTCACCCTGCATGACAACCTCTCCCTCAGCCTCCATCTTCCTCCTCATCGCATGGGCAATCTTTTTCTCCATCTTCTTGGCCTTCTTCTTGCTCATGGGCGCGTTGGGTCCGCTAGTGGCCATCAGGCCGGGCCTCGCACCGCGCATGGTATCCGTCCTCGCAATCTTGTGCTTGTTCGCCTCGGACTTCTTGCGGCGGGCAATCTTGGCGCCGAGGGCCTTGTTGGCCAGGCGGTTCTTGGAGGGACCGTTAGGGTTCTTGACGGACGGCATGGTGGCGGTGGTGTTTGGTCTCGTCGAGACAGTTGGGTTATTCGACGTAAGGAGAAGGAGAGAAGAGACGGTGTCGAAGACGGAATGGCAAAACTGAGCAGCGGGTGAAATGCGATTGAGCGTCGCTCTGGGATTTTTTAAAGTGGAGCACACCTTTGGCGGGATGCAGGTTCGGGGGTCCAGGCCTGCCCCGCTTGCCCCTCGCCGACCCCACACGCCTCACCGTCGTCGGTGAGCATCGGGGTGAAGACAGGTCCAAGGTGAGTAAGTACGGATCTATGATAGTATGCCGCTCGGCCTTTTGGCAAGCCATGATATGATACTCAAACCGGCTTGTTAAGTATTTCCGTATTTTCTATCTGCCACATCTACTCAGTAAACTATATATCGTGACACATCCGAGCAAATGAAGGTTTAACATGTCAAACTGCATATCAAGATTCTTGTCCTATTGAGACGCTTTCCTGCCCATGAAATGTGCTGCAACCTGAATCCAAACGCCGAACCTGAAATGCGATATGCCCTTCCTATCTATTCAATCAACGCCAATGAAGACTACTCTCTTACATTCATCACCGCGCCACTCTGTCACTGTTCTTGCCAATGGTACTAGGACTGCTAGGGCTTCCCTCGTCATCCACTTCGTCCTTCAGGCCTTTGCGGGCCTCGACATCGTCGTCGTCGCTCATAAGGCCCTCGAGCTCGAATTCTTCGGCATCACGGACTTGGCGGGATTCGCCGGGGCGACCATTAGCCAGGGGCACGCCGTTCGCCAGGTTGACCTTGCCTTCGGTGTTGGTGTTACGATCGAAGAGATGGATGAGCATCATGGTGAAGAGGAAGAGCAGGAATGCGAAGGAGTAGAGGATAAGGATGTACGACACGTGGTCGAGACCCGAGTTGGCAACTAGCTCCATCTGCTCCTCAGTGGCACCCATGAAAAGAAAGCCAGAGGCATACAAAAGCTAGAAGGCATTAGATGGTGCTCAAACTCAGTTTCTGTATAATCAATGACTTACGAAGACAGGAATGAACTGCCAGCTGTTGGTTTGGCGGCCATCAGCAGAGACACCAACGCCGTCCTTGACAACGAAGGCAACCTCAATGACACGGGTGATGCCAACACCCATCAAGGTCTTGCCAAACATGCTGTGGGTCATGGCGCTGATGGGGAGGTCCTGAGGATGCGCAGACATGGCCCATCCAGTGACACCAATGACGAAGCCAGGAATGAAGTTGCGCTTGGGGTTTCCGTCGCGATCCCGGCTGAGCCAGACACCAACAAGACCAGCACACCACCAAATAATACCCATGGTTGTGTGTTGCCAGTCGTTCCTGACCCATTCCGTGCCCCATCGATGCTCGGTGAAGGTGTTCACACAGCCCCATGCCGCGATTACGATGCTGTCAAAGAATTCCTGGGATCGGCCACTGCGTCGCACCCACAGCTGTCCAACAAGGAGAAGCAGGGTCAGAATGATTCCGTAAGCGATGAAAGCGCTACCCATGATGAAATGCGCCAAACACTGGCCAAGGTGGTCGCCCTGGCAGAAGCCCAGAGAGGTAATGCCACCAAACAAGAATTGTGTCCAAGCCAGTACTGGTGAGGCCTTGCCCAAGATGCTGTGTGCAGGCTTGATGAAACGGCGAATGCGACCGTTGATGCCCTTCTCGAGATGCAGCCTGAGGTAGATGCCCAAACCGACCTGGGAGGCCATGATGATCATGAGCCAGTTGGCGAAGGAGGCATGGACGTTATGGGCGACAAATTGTCTTCCGCCGTGCATGTGGCCGAGGAAGTATCCAACAATGGCGAGAGCGGAACCGAGGACTTGAGTCGGAACATGCCAGCGGTTCTTGGTCATCTAGAGGAAGGCGGGCAGTTAGCAACTCTGAGGAAGTCCAAAAGTTCGAAACAAGGGTAGGATCGCCACTTACTCCCAAGACCATACCGACGGGGAAGATGACCCCGAAGGCAAGCATCATGATGAAGATGTGAATCCATAGTATTGTGTCCTGCGATTGTCGCCAGTTAGCATTTCTGTGCCTTTGTTTCTCGTGTTTCTCGGGGGCGTTTCAAGAGGTCGGGTATTTTTTCCTCCAAGGCAGTATGCGGGCAGTCCTGTTGTTCGGTGAGGTGGTGATGGTCGCTTACGATGGGTTCCTGCGAGACGGTCTCGCCCTCTTGGATGTGGCTGACGCCGTGTTCGTGACCGAGAGCCATGGGGAGCGATGTGAGGATGTATGCAGCAGCAGCGAGTGTCTTGAAGGAGGAGAAAGACTTGAGCGGCAACGAGGCCGTAAAAGAGTCGAGTCGCGCCATGACGGGCGTTTCGAAATAGCAGAAGCGTCCCCTGTGCTGCTGGGCCTTGGTATGCTGGGCTTGTCGGGGCGCGCTGGAGCCAGACGTGTCACAGACTTGAGCCTGCTGGAGTGTTTGGAGCGGGGCGGGCTTGAGGATGTCGCAATGCAATTGGCGAGGTTCGGACGAAGCGTCGAGGATGGTGAGGTAAGGTAAGGTAAGCAACAATAGGGACCGGATGAGACGAGACGGTGGGCGGCAAGGTACGCTGTAGAGCAAGCGAATGCCTATAGCGTAGCGGTACTGGTGCAATGAGGCGCGTGGGGACGGTCGCGGGAAGGGGTCTGAGGGTTTCGATCGGTCGGTCGGTCGGTCGGTCAGGCCAAGGCTTGAAAAGGTCGGTCGTTACCGTGGGTTAGGACAAGGTAAGGTTGGTGTGGGAGGGGAGGGAGGGAGAAGCTATCTTGGGACGGCGACGGGACCCTTGGACGCAGGCAGTCCTCCTCTCCTATGGTGGTGTTTGTCAGACGGAGGGGATTTTGGGTGGCGATATGTCGTGCAAATAGAGATATGTAGGATGCAAAAGAGAGAATTGCGAAAGAAGAATGAGGCTCACGGCTGTGCTTGAAAGAAAAAGAGAGACAAGCGCCAAATTGGAAAAGACCCGGTCGTCGTGTCCATTAGATTGTGGCTTTCCGCTGATGGACCGTACACTGAGGGACGGGACCCGACCTGGACGGCCTACATACGCATACGTATTTCGTAGGTAGGTAGGTACGAATACATGGAGACGAGCCGGAGGCTTCGGTAACGCCCATGTTGGAGAGTGGGGTCTGCTACTTCCAAGGTATCTTACCGCACATTTTTGGGAGAGGTGTACTTGGCCGGGGAATCCGTCACCCAAACTGCCCGCCCGTCGTGAAGTACCTAGAAGGGAACGGTGCTGGACAGGCATGGAGGGCTGGGCAGATTAGGTACGCGGGGATGGTTGCAAGTAGGTATTCATTCATGTAAATTTGTACGTTGTTGTACATTGCTTTTCTCAAAGTCCAATTGAGCAGTTGCTGACTGCTTTACAACTGCCTGCTGTTGTTGTTGCAGTGCTTTTGACTTGTCCGCTCCTTCTCTGCGACTCTGGGAATCTGCAGACGGGACCCGGGAGCGCAGGTGGCAGCTGCTCCCTCTTGCCCTGCACGTTCCCCATCCCATCCAGGTCCTTCCCATTCGTCAGCCAGATACGTATTGCACTTCCCATCGTGGCATAACAGCAATGAGCGCATTTCCATTGGCTCAGACAGGCATGTACCCCCTCTCTTCAGTGGACCCTCTCAGAAATGCCCAGTCAAAAACAAAAAAGAAAAAAGTTATTCGCCCATTTTGTTGTTCCCCGTCGCCGACTTTCCGTTCCAGGTTCGCCGGTCCGCCCGCAACGACACAACGGGCATCAGTCAGCACAATTTACCCGCACTGCACTCACTCTCATGCTCATCCTTCCACCTCATCCTCACACCTCATCCTCACACCTCATGACTACTGCGTACTCCCTCATCTTAGTCAATGACTTACTCAGTCGCCAATGTACCTGTCACGATGCTGTAGTCAGAAACGTCTCAAGACTCGCCATCGAGACCCAAGACAACCAAAAACACCAGAGGACAGAGTTGCAATTTGGCAGAAGACCTCCCAAGAACACTGCCCCAATGCCAAATGTCCTTTTCTCCCCCTGCCAAGCTATCATTCTGAACCTGGCCAGCCTAGCAAGCTCCGCCATGCCACGCTCAAGAGCTAAAATGCTGGCAAAAAATGCCCTTCAAGTCTATGTCACTCTCATCTCAGTCTCTCCCTTCCAAATCCAGGCTTGTTCATCCCCCAAGCGATATGCATCTTGGCCCAAGTAAGCCAAGCTTTCCATTTCTTTTACCGCTTGCCAATGCTTGAGCCGATGTCAAGTATGGGCTTGGCCAGGAGCCGCTTTTCTGGCTGCAGCCTGCGACTATGTATCCGCCTTATGGATACGTGAGTGTGAGGCCTCTGGGACTCTGAATAATATGTATCCTGTAGAGGCTTACATGTATTTGTACATCAAAATTGGGCTTACACAAGGGGCATGCATATCTGACGATGTATGACATGACGCATCGATGTGAAGCCATCACCATCCTCACTCACTCAATGAGGAACTTAATGACATACTACCGTGCTACCCAAATGAACTCAACCCAACAGCAACCGTCTGTGTCGTCCCTCATCTGTTGTCCCTGGTCTACAACAAAAGAAGGGTTCGAGCGGTTGGCGTGGGCATGATTGTGTGCGTGTGCGCCAACCACACGGGATTGAAATGACACGAACCCTTTTCAGGAAAGCTTCTCGAGAACATATTGGCACGGCTGTCAAAGGGTTAGCTGGCCGTGTCATTAATGCCGTCTCAACTCTGGCCTCAAGAAGCTCCTCAAAGGCTTATCAGAGCTATGAGTATGAGTGCAAGCTCAAACCCGATGATGCTCGGTTCCCCAATCCTCGTCTTGAAGTAGGTTTTCACGGCAAGAAGACTTGGTGGTGTTCGCTGCCGTATCGGCAGAAAACGTAGCCTCCCGAAGATCGCGTCAACACTCCATTCCATAAACCTCCATCAGACATTCAACTGATCTTGGTCGAGGACGGACGCTTTGACTATTCCCTCCCATGTGAGCATTCTCGGTAGTTTACAGCAGCTGGCCCAAGGCTGGTCATGTGGTGCAAGATTTGCTCACCATCCATCGGGGGCATGGAGGTTGTTATCAGTCAAGGCCCCATCCTCAATCCTATCTTTGCTGTCGATAAGATTGCGAGCCTAGGGTAAGAGGATTCAATTCATGTTCAGGGTCTGCGCCGGCAGGTCTTCGACACGAGGTCAGAACTGCTCAATGGTGCTACGCAACAACTCATTCCCGCTGGACTCTTCAGTCATGGGCGGGATGTATGATCTAGCGAGGTAATCGACAACGAGAAATGGGTATGTGGTAGTGTGATACTTCCTCTTCTAGAGTCTTTTGATATGAACACTCATGTTCCTAACTCTAGAAGCTGCCTCTTTAATCTACATCTAAAACACCTTTTCCATGAAGCAACGTGTCACTCATGAGAAGGTCACCGGTGCCGGGCCCCATCAATGAAGCTTAACATGTGCAGGCAGAACCATGTAAATGCTTCTACCCACATCAGCCACACGATGACAGGAAGACTAATCCTTGGAACCGTAGGGCTTACACACATGCCAAAGGTCCAATGCACAACGCCGGCGCCGAGACCTAGACGGAGTAGCCCGAGCCACCGGAACCCTCGCCGGCCAACCACGCATCGCCCACGGCGCCTAGCGCCGCCGTCTCCCACGTTTCTTCACGAATCCCGCAGCCGCCAACCACGCACCTCTCGTCTGTCTGCCGTTGCATGCCTCGGCTCTTGCGTCGATCACGGAACGATTACTATTCCTCACAGGATGGCGCAATATCACTCACTTACTTAAACACCATGGAAGGTCGCAACTGTTCACATCCAAATTTCTTTCACGAGCTCTTGCTCGGTATTATTCACTGGCACACGCCTTGCTACACGGATAGTATATTCTCATGACGCTGGGCACCTTGTCCCTTGAATTCCACAAAATCCCGCTGGAGATTCTCATAATCTCTTTCATTAATCATAAAGCACGCTGATTCACCCACAGATAATCCTCTAGTAGGTGTAACGGAAACCAGGCTGAGCACCCTCCTGCACATGCGGGTCAGCAATTGCTCCTAATTCACAGGTGCGGTGGGGAAAACTTACATCGTCAGCCTCAAGCTCCTTCTCGCCCCTGTCAGCCTTCTTGTTCTTGAAGTAGGCGTCCACAGTCAACAAGCTGACCAGAATGCACGTCAACAAGCTGCACGCAATGCAGGCATACATGCCCGGGCGGTAGTGAGGCTTGTCCTGCTCACGGAAGAGCAAGCTGCCGGCAATACCTCCGATACCACCGAACGAGACCAGAGTCGCGCTGCAGAAAGCGCGCTTCCACTGGCCACGGATGTTGTTCGCCTGGTAGGCCATCACAGCGGGGACGTTGGAGTTGGCACCAGCAGTGGTCAAGAAGACACCAAAGTAGCGCACCGCCGCGCTGGAGTGGAAACCCATGATGGGAAGGCCGACAATGCAGAAGAGCATGTTGATGAGAATAACGGGACCACGGAACTTCATCCTATCGCCCAACCACGCGGTCGCGAACATGACGATACCGGCAAAGGCGTAGGGCGGCGCAACGAGGCACTGCGCGGCACCAACATCAAAGCCCATGTTGACCTGCAGAATGATGGGCAAGAAGTATGCGAGCGCGTATGAGACGGTGGTGGTGTTGAAGAAGATCATGGCGTAGGCCCAGATTCTCCAGTCGGCGCCGGCACCGAGGAATCTCTTCAGGTTGAAGGCGGGAATGTGGGCGTCGCCACGATCACGGTTCACGCGCGCAACGATCCAGGCGCGCTCACGCTCGCCGAGGAAGCTCCAGTCCTTGCGCTTCTTGGAATCGGGGAAGTCAACGAGGAGCCAGTAGCCTGCGAGGCCGAGCACGCAGGTGAGGGCACCTTCGATGATGAAGATCCAGCGCCATCCAGTCAGGCCCTGCTGGCCGTTCAACTGCATCAGACCGAAAGCAAGAATACCGGAGAAAGCGGAAGCGACGCAGCCGAGGAGGTAAAAGACGGAGTACCGCTTTCCGACCTCATCTGTTCATAGTCAGAAGTCTGGCCGTGGAGGCATCATACTCGATGGATGACTTACATCTGGTGTACCATGTGCTGAGAAGGTAGACACAGCTGGGGAAGAAACCGGCTTCGAGAACACCCAGCAGAATTCTGCATGCATACAAGTGTGTGTACTTTGCCGAGAAACCCATACCAATCATCACAGCACCCCACAGGAGGGTGAGTCCACCAAGGTGAAGACGAGGTCCAATCTTGCGAACAATGATGGTCGAGGGCGGCTGGAAGATGATGTACGGAATGAAGAAGAGGAGGGAAGCAATGCTCTGTTGAAGCGGATGGTCAGCTATCCACCCTCATCACCATACACACAATCATCGAAATCAACTCACGTATCGGTTGTCGAGATAGAGACCCAATTCCTTGGTCATGCCGGCAATGGCGGCCGCAGACAAGTTGGTACGATCCATCAATGACACGCAGTACATGGCGCCGACAGTGACGACGAGTCTTCGGTCGACGCGGCGAATGATCTTGCGCTGCTCCTCAGCAGTGAAGCCATGGTCAATGTCGAGGTCGTGAGAGTCGTTGATGGAGCTGGTCCTGATGTGGTCACTGTGCTCGAAGCCTGCCTTCTCGGGATCTGAGACGGGGCGATCCATGTCGGGCGACTGTGACGTGTATCGAAACTCGCTATGAATGAGTCGTCGAAGAGGTGAACGACGAGAGATTGATCTCGTGGGCGCACAGAAGCTGCAGGTTATGCGTCACTTATTGAGTTTGACCAAGGGAGGGGTCCAGTCGAGGAAGAGATCTGGGCCTGCTAATCAACGCCGACGCAGGACTGAGGAATGCCGTTCGAATAAAGATGTGGAACAAACAACCCAAAGTCAGGAGGGGAAACTGTGGAGGTTATCTACTCGAGAAACACAAAGATCCTGAGAGTAGCATCGGATGACACGACGATTCGATAACGATACGCACACAGCCTTTTTGTATCCGTTCGGGTCCAGCCCCAGTTCCCCGCGAAAAGACAGCAAGTCGACGACGACTACAACCCCCTTCTTTCTCCCACCCCCGCCCCCCTGGTCCGTAAGACAAGACATACACGAAAGCACCCAGGACGGTGGATCCAACGACCCAAGAACCCAAGACCAGACAAGGCCATGAAGCCATCCAAACCACCGGCGTTCCTTTTCCCCATGTTCCCCAGAAAAAAACACAGACGAAAAGAGCCTTAGCAGATACACGTCCCCATATCTCCCCCGCCCTGGGATGGGGGGGACCACCCCCGATGCTGCTGTCCTTTTGCTGCGGGGGAGCCAATCAAACTCAAAACAAGACAAGAAGATACCGAGGGTGGCGGCAAGCAGGCCTAGGAAGAAGCCTGTCGAGGTGTCGACTCGTTCGAAGGAAGCCAAGACTGAAGGACAAGGGCGTGGCCGCAGTGCCGCATTAGGATGAGAAAGTTGGAACCAAAAGCCACGGAAAGGGTGTGGTAGGTATGCGGCATCAGTTTTCCCACTAGCCGTCAGAGACAAGACGTCCAGACACCGAGGGACGAGTCCAGCCAAAGACGGTGATGGCATGTAGATTGGTATTGAAACGGCAGATACCTCATAGAGACACGCATACCCGTATTGTCTGCTAAATTGCAGAATTAACTTTTGCAAAAACAGATATCATTTGGTAATTTCTCATCGCTACAGTCGACATTGTAGGTGAATCTCAACACCCCATATCCCTCTCACTCTCATTCTTATTCTCACTCATCTCTCTCGCTCAAACCCACTCATTTGACTCAACCATGCTCACCAAAAATACAGCGGCACAGCGTGCGGCTAGCCACAACAGCTCAAATCCGGGGTACCAAAGGTTCAAAGTGGGTTCGTCCCGGTCTCTGGCTGCGGGGTAAACGCACGATGTGCGTGTGGAGGAAAGCTGGAGCCTCCACGTCCCGTGTGGGTGGTGAGGAGAAGTCCGCCGAGCCGAGTGGGAAGAAAGCCGGGGAAAGGGGGGCCCATGGCCCATCATTCATTCATCGGACATGGGTTATGGGCTTTGAGAGAGCCTTGGAGGGGACGTGTGTCGGTCATTCACTCTTAGAAATGTCCACTCATAAGACACAAAGACGAGATGAATAAAAAGGTCCAAAGTGGTCATGGTTCGGCCGGTCGACTCGGTACTGTGCGCCGGAGCGACTTGGCGGGTATGCGATTGGATCGTCTGCCGGCGGATTGCCCGATTCGGTTCTAGACGCGAAGCTGAGACTAAGGCATGCAAGCCCACGCGATGAGACCCGAGAACGTACTAGGCGCAGCGCGGCATGGGGATGGGGTTGGGAAATCTGGCAGTTCACTGTTCTGGCAATGGGGACGAAGAATGGATGCTTTTCCCCTGTCTCTTTCTTTGGGTCTTTCTAGGATGATACGCGGCCCCGTCGGTAAGATAGAAACAGTGAGTGAGTGAGAGAAAGGTGGAAGGGGGAGAAGCAAAGAAGATCGACGGGACACACGGAGGCGTACATGGGGAACGGAGACACGAGCCAGGGGTTCTGGACACCGACAGGAAGTGATATGCTTCTTCTTCAGGCTTGATGACACACTGCTCAGGGTATCTCGCAGAAAGAGTGACATAACCCTGTGGAGCGTGCTCCATCTCATGTCATGTCACCTCCAGACGCAGTAGACATGGGGGATATCCGTGGCCGTGGCATCTGTCATTTTCTTGACTGATACATGATACCCATCTCCCGGGTGACTCGTCCCGAACCTGCAGTGGAATGACGGCAAGAAAAAGACACCGAAAGAATGAGACGACGAACGAGGGGGTTTGTTGTTGACCCTCGAACTTCGAACGGCGGACGAACCATGGGTACGCACGCGCTTGCGAAAGACTGTTTGGCGCCGGTGACTGAGTCGAGTGTGCTGCCCACGAACCTTCACGAAATGAAGCAAAATTCGATTGCCGCGCTCCGTGTGAGTCGTGTACTCCGTACCCCCAAGTCCGCCGTCCCAGTCCACCTGAGGACTCAAGGAGGCTTCGAGGGCTTCGAGACCTCATTAGACGCAGTCCGTCGAACCCGAGCCAAAGGACGCCAAACTTCCTAGGTGATCGAGAGACGCCGTCTGCCACCGGACGCCAAGATGCCTCCATCGATCTTGGCAAAAGCCGCGTGCCACCCACGACCTGTCCTATCCGGACGTTTACAGCCATGTTGCCGTCTTGTCCGTCGTCAACAGTCGTCGAAAGCATCGAAGAGGCATTCCCAATCAGATTAACAGGGAGATGAGCTGTCGTTAACTTGCCTCCTCCCCTTCTTTGTGGCTGTTCTACCCCTGTTCCCGACATGGCGGTCTCCGTGTCTGTGAGTCTGTGACTGCTGTCTCAAGCGTCCTAGCGCACATCATCCCACCAACGTGTAAACGTGTAAAGATTCCACTACCGTGACTGCGGTTCAGACATCGTCTTCAGTCTCCCTTGCGTTGGCGTTGGGCGAGCTGTTGCGAGCATGGACCCTCAGGGACCAGGTGATTCGATGCCACCCTCTTCAATTTCGCCCTGCATGCCTCGCCGTGCTACCAGATAACAAGAAATAGAAACCAACCAAGTACCTAGCATTGGCGTCGCCGCAGAAACATCCCTCCTCAGATCATGCACACTTTCTCCCGAGTCTAGGTTCCAGTCCCGACTCCTACCTATTGAGCTTGTTAGGATGCATACACGCCACCACACCCTCCACGAGCGACCGCCCGGACGACGGACAACCATTATAGATTTCCCCTCAGAGGCTCAGACTAAGGTAGGACATCAAACTTCCCAGTCTAGACCTGACAAGCCATCCTTCCAACCCCCTCCCTCGGATCGAACCTCGGCATCCTCGACCCTTCTACGGCGTGCCATTGGGCGATGATCACCTCTCCTGTGTCCAATTGAATGAGAACTGAAGCTAATTTTGTTACGAGTTATGGCACATAGCAATGGGTATACGGAGTATGGTAAAGTAGCCTAACCTATTAAAATAGAAATAGATAAAAGAGAAAGGTCTATATATAGGATATAAGTAAGATATACGTAATATAGTACGTAATAGGCACTTTGTAGATTACGGTCCCTATTTTTATTACGTAATATACCCCCTAATTGCTACTGTAAGGGAGCTATTATACTTAAGATAGGACCTCCGAATAGCTTTATAAAGGCCCGATTTAGTTAAGTATAAATAAAGGAAAAATAAGTATAAGGGATACGCGTCTTTTAGAGCGCGTTTATTATTAATATCCCCTTTATTTAAAGTAAATGGAATCTTAACTAGGAATAGCGCATAGTCTGTTACTTCTGGTGTGTAAATTAGTAAAGGCGAGGCTGCCTATTTATTTTGCGTATATTTAAAATCTTGTAGCCTCGCTTTGCTATTATTTTTTTTTTTTTTTTTAATTTTTTATAGTCGTTGTACGTACCTTTATTTGCTGTGCGCGTACGCTAGCGCTATTAAATCCTTTATTAATTTTATTTTAGATATAAATATTTAATATATCCGCGGTTATTAGTAAGTTTTGCGTAATTTTTATAATATGTCCTATATGCGTATTGTATAGTTTATTAAAAGTTTAGTTAGATAACGATAGCGACGAGGCCCTTGTAGTCGAGTCCCTTCCCCGCCCCCGCTAACCTGTCCTTTTTGCGTACTAGGGCCCTATTACCGAGCTCTCCCTCCCTAGCTAGGAGGACGTTGAGGCTATCGCTAGAGATACTGAGAACTTTAAAGAGTTCGAGGCTCTTTTTGGCGATAAGGATGTGGGCTATAATAAGGATATGGGCGGTTGTAAGAGCTTTAGTAATAAGCTTTTATTTCTCCCTGCTTCGGAGTCTGAGAGCGAAGAGGAGTTTAAGAAAGAGGAGGACGACGATAAGGATAAAGATATGGACGACCTGCTCTCTGAGAAGGGTATATTGTATACTGTTTTTTTAGGTATTTGTATTTAATATTATTTAGATTTTAAAAAGCGTAAGCTCGCGGCTGCTTTTGTTAATAAGAAGGGCGCTAAAAAGTAGAAAAAGGATAAAAAAAAGAGAACGCCGAGAGGTAAAGGTACCCCCCGCGATAAGTATAGTTCTCTTTGTTTATAAAGACCTATTTAACGTATGCTTAGTCTTTAAGAAGTTTAAGGGCGAGGCTCCCGAGGAGCGGGATATTTAGTGTATACCCTGCTTTTGGGTAGCCCTTTAGTATACTGACCGTAAGGATGGTGGTTGTTATTTTGTAGGAAGTAGTAGCTGGTATATGCGCTATTTTAATGGCCGTTCGGTTAAAGCTTATATCGATATGCCGATTATCCTATAGCCGATAGCCTAGGCTTTTACCGAGGCGATTGTAGGTAGCGCTCCCCCCTTTGTAAGTATATTATTGTTTTCTGTCGTTAAGAAGCGTACTCTTAATTATGATTTCGGTAAGAAATCGCTAAGCTTTGTAGTATTGTCTATTAGATGGATAATAATATTAAGAAGTATAAGGATTATATCCGCTTCTGGGCGGACGACTTTTTTTTCTCGCGCCCCCCGACCCCTCTTTTGAGTACGCCGGTGTTGTTTATTATGTTTATTGTGGTCGTTTATAATTAACTTCCTGTCGCCCCCCCCGCTCCTGTACCCTAGGTCGTTAATTTAACGGTCGTTCTGCCCCTGGCTCCCCCCGCTGCCCCCGCTGCTGCTGGCTTTGTAGATTTCGAGGTGTGTAAGGCGTAGTTCTTGGTGCGCGTGACCGGTCTCTTCGCTGCCGACGCTATGGTTCTAGCGGTTTCGTTCTTTTTAGATTAGGAGTTTAATTAATAAGCGTAAGCCCGAGTCCTATTTCTGTATATATGTGCCTTGCGGGGTAAGGTTGTTTTAGGAGTTTAGGCCTTTGGGCTAGGAAAAGTTTTGTTTATTTCGTTTTAGGCCTCCGGGCCGTACTCTGGGTTCTATTTATGGTTTACTTTTGGGTACTGAGTTTTTCTGGGCGTGGCCTAAATTAATTACTTTTAACTACTTTAGTTATTTATGATGATTTCTTGTGTATCGTAGAGGTTAAAGAGTGTATAGAAGTGTTCGAACTTAGTTCGTAAAAGGTTTTTAATAAGTCTATTTACTGGTATATTTTTTATTAATATATACGTAACCTTAAAGCTACTTTTGGCGTGCTCTTATCTAAGCTATATGTTCTATATATCGATATAATAAAGCCGTGTAGCTATTCTCTCCCCTTCTTTTATAACGAGTCGAATCGTTTATTAATTATCGTACTTAACTAACTATACTTTTCCTAGGTTAAGGGTAATATTTTTGAAAAGGCGCTTTAGAGCTATGGTTTCCTTTGTAGTTTCTTTAAGGTAGAGAAGCTTAGCTTCGGTAATTAACGTTATAACCGTCGCTTAGTGTGCGGATTTCTATTGAATTAGGCTGCTAAAAAAGAATATTATATACCCCTAGGATGATCTTTGTATTACTTCGTTATCTGCGAAGCTAGTATCCCTAGTTAAAAATAATAATTGCGCACTTAGTACGCTGCTGTATGAGAGCGTAAGATATTTTATTGTATATAGATATCGAATATACTGATTAATAACTTTAATATAGATTACGCTTAGGTTGGTTAGGAACCGTGATAATTGTAAGTAAGTAAAAGCGACGTCTAGTTTAATTATAATAGCTGTATAGAGTAT